ACAGCGTGACTTAAATAGCCTGCAGCTAGAGGAATTGGGTTGGCGCTGAAGTATCTGTTCTATTTTTAGCTTTTAAAAGTAAATATCTTACAGAAGCAAGGAGGCCACTGTGCAACGGAATGCGGCTTGACTCGGCCGCATTTTGAGGGAATGACTGGTTTTTGTTTTTGAAAGCCTGTCTAGACAAGTGGACTCACAAGGGCAGTCTGCCCCACCCAGCACCCAGCTGAACTGTGTCCAGCTTATTCAGCTGATCTTTGAAGCTGAAGACTCCAAGCTTAAAAAAATAAAAAATCTTCATCACTTTATCCAAAGCACACATGTTTTTGAGGGTAGATTTTCCTTATTAAGAGATAATTCCCAAATCAATAAAATTCACCTGTTCGAAGCGTCCAGTTCCATGATTTTGAGTTTAATCAAAGTTAGCACACATTCTTTACAGAACACTTGAAGGTCCCCCCCGGCCCAAATGAAACAGGAGTTTGTACTGGTTTGCAGCCAGAAGCCAAATAATTTCCAGAAGCCAAATTTTGTTCTGCGTGTGTTAATCTTTTTTATTTTATGCTGGAGTGTAGCCGCTTAACAATGTTGTGGTGGCTTCAGGCGGACTGCGGAGGGACTCAGCCAGACGTGTACACACATCCCTTCTCCCCCAAACCCCCCTCCCACCCCGGCTGCCATGTGACATTGAACAGCGTTCCCTGGGCTGCCCAGCAGGTCCTTGCTGGTTCTCCATGTTAAACACAGCCGTGTGTCCATGTCCATCCCAGACTCCCTGACTGTCCCTTCCCCCATCCTTCCCCCTGGTGACCATCAGGTTATCACAGAGTATTGAGCAGGGTTCCCTGTGCTGGCCAGCAGGTCCTTGCTGGTTCTCCATGTTAAACACAGCCGTGTGTCCATGTCCATCCCAGACTCCCTGACTATCTCTTCTCCCTGGCAGTCATGAGTTTGTTTTGTAAGTCTTGTGAGTCTCTCTCTGTTTTGTATGTAAGTTCACTTTTGTACTGTTGATATGCAATGTTGTATTAGTTTCAGGTGTATAGCAAAGTGAGTCAGTTATACATACATCTCCCCCCCTTTTTTAAGATTCTTTCACATATAGCTCATTACAGAGTATTGAATAGAGTTCCCTATGCTATATAGCAGGTCCTTGTTCATTATCTGTTTTCTGTATTTTGTGTGTGTGTGTGCATTCAGCCATTCAGTCGTGTCCGACTCTTTGCCGCCCCATGGACTGTAGCCCACCAGGCTCCTCTGTCCATGGGATTGTCCAGGCAAGAATACTGGAGTGGGTTGCCATGCCCTCCTCCAGGGGGATCTTCCCAACCCAGGGATCGAACCTGGGTCTCCAGCATTGAAAACAGATTCTTGACTGTCTGAACCACCGGAGAAGCCCCTTTAAAGCATGAACTCAGTCGTGTTCAAGGAACCAGTGCTATTGGATTGGCCAAAAAAGTTCATTTGCCTAGCGAGTCCATTGTTCTGTAAAATTCTTGGTGTGAGAATGAAAAATGTTTCACTCAAAAGTGGATGAACTTTTTGGCCCACCCAGTGCTTCTGAATTTCTGAAACAAGAAGACAAGGTGATTTCTCATCGGGTGAAACAAATAGTTCAGTTCCCTGTTTTTCAGCAGATCACGGGAGATTAAATTCCTGCGTGTAGGGTCTTCTGGTACGTTTAACTAGGCTTTGGTTAAATGTCTGCCTTGATGGGGTTTCTGTCGATTCTGAATTCACCAGTTATCATCATCCTGTTGTTTCCTGTTGTCTTTTCCTTTATTGGTGGAATAACGTTTCTTTTTTTTTTTTTTAATAACGTTTCTTTTTAAACGTATCTTCAGATGGCTTGTTTCCGCCCCTTTCCTCACCAGGGGCACGACAGCCCACTCCAGTATTCTTGCCTGGAGAATCCATGCTCAGAGGAGCCTGGCGGGGTACAGTCCCCAGGGGTGGTAAAGAGTTGGACACAACTGATCGAATAATACTTTCATTACGCTCATTTTCCTTTCTTCATGAAAGAGTGAATATGTCCTTCATCACGGGGTCTTTTCGTTCTTAAACACAAGAGAGAAATATGTCAGGAAATGCTTCTGGTGTTAAAGGTATTATTATGATGTTATTATGATGTTAAAGGTATTAAAAAAAAAAAACCAAAACCCTGTGATTCTTCCAAGTTAAATTGTGCCAGAGGTATCTGGATGAAGATACAGAGGCATCACATATTTTATTTGATTCCTGCAGTCTCAAGGGTAAAAAAATACAGTTTTGGGGAAGCAAGACTTTATGTCTTAAGAGACGTGTCACTGTCCATTTTCTGCATGAGACAGCCTGCAGAGACACATGTAGAAACATTTTTTTATAAGATGAGGAATCCTTTCCCTTAGAGTAATTAAAATGTATTACAGGGCGAGTGAAGTTCGTAAAAAGGAATGTGGACTGTGGCACCCTTTTTGGAGAAACTTCCTCTTTTAGGAAGTCTGAGAGTTATTCCCCTTTCTAGCCAGCGTGTGTTCCTAGTGAGGACCGCCCAGGGGCTTACCCCGCGGGTGGCAGAAACTCAGCACCATTTCCTTTGCCAAGAAAATGTTGCTATTATTAGCCAGAAGCAGACACACTGCTTGCGCCTGCTTCTTTTGATAAGCTTTTGGAAAGTTCATCACTTTTCCAGAACAGGCTGGCTTCTCTTTTTATGATTTCTGATTGTCTTTCTTTTGATTTTGCCCTCATCAGCATTAATCTGGACAAAGACAGTTGAGCGTGGTGTCCTCACTGTTGGCCTTTAATTTTCCCAGACCATGCCAGCGTATCAGAAGACCCGAGCGGAGATGCGCTGGGGCATTTGAAACATGTACATTTCCATGTCCAGACCTGTTCTCAAAGCGGAGAAAGATTAAAGTTCTGTTAGGTTCTATACGCAAAAACATGAATGTGCAGTATTAAGTGATTAAACAACAAGGATGCTCGGAGAATTCCTGAGCACTGTTTGGTTGAATTCGTACCCCCTGGTGCTGCCATAAAAAACTTCCACCAAACTGGGAAGCTTGAAACCGTAGACATTCATCTTCTCTGAATCCCGGGGACCAGACGTCTGAGGTCAAGGGGTCCGTGGGCTGAGCTCCCTGCAGAGACTCCAGGGGAGGGTCCTCTCCGCCTCGCCTGGCTTCTGGGGGCTCCAGGCGTCCGTCCCTGGGCTGGTGGCCGCCTCCCTCCCGTCTCCGCCTCTGTCTCCATGTGGCTTCTCCTCTGTGTCTTCTAAGGACCCTGCCCTGGGTTTAGGGCCACCGCCGGTGACTCAGTAAAGAATCCGCCTGCAATGCAGGAGGCTGGGGTTCGATCCCTGGGTCGGGAAGATCCCCTGGAGGAGGGCACGGCAACCCACTCCAGTATTCTTGCCTGGAGAATCACCACGGGCAGAGGGGCCCGGCAGGCTGCAGTCCGTGGGGTCACAAAGAGCCCGTCACTGCTGAGCGAGTTTACGGCAGCAATCGTTAATTGCAGCGTGGCGTTAGTCAGGTGTACGACAGAGTGAGTCAATTACTTATCTGCTCTTTTTCACATTCTTTCCCCATACACAGTTGTTACATGATGTGGACTCGATTTCCCTGTGCCATACCGTAGTAGCTCCTTGTTTGTTTAATATTTTCCATCTAGTCCTGCGTATCTGTTCATCCCAAACTCCTCATTTAACCCTCCCCCAACCCTTTCCCCTTCGGTCACCCTGAGTTTGTTATCTGTGCCTCATCCTGATTTGGAAAAGCGTCAGAAAAAAGACACGTCGAAGGAATGTATTTTGGCACGCTTTTCCATCTGCCTTCACCTGCGTGTGTGTGTGTGTGTGTGTGTGTTCTCTGGGGTGACTCATTCCAGGAACGATGGTCAGTCACGCTCATCGAAGGACAATTCAGGGGCAGGTTACGCTTCTTGTCATTAAGTTGCTGAGTCGTGTCCGACTCTTTGCAACCCCATGGACCGCAGCACGCCAGGCCTCCCTGTCCATCACCAACTCCCAGAGCTTGCTCAAACTCTTGTCCATCAAGTCAGTGATGCCATCCAACCATCTCATCCTCTGTCGTCCCCTTCTCCTCCCACCTTCAATCTTTCCCAGCATCAGGGTCTTTTCCAATGAGTCAGGTCTTCACATCAGGTGGCCAAAGGATTGGAGTTTCAGCTTCAGCATCAGTCCTTCCAATGAATATTGAGGACTGATTTCCTTTAGGATGGACTGGTTGGATCTCCTTGGAGTTCACGGGACTCTCAAGAGTGTTTTCCCGCCCCACAGTTCGAAAGCATCAATGCTCAGGTGCGCTCAGCCTTCCTTATGTTCCAGCTCTCACGTCCGTGCGTCACTCCTGGACGAACCACAGCTGTGACTGCATGTAGCTTTGTCGTAGAGTGAAGTGATGCTGTGTGTGTGCGGGAATTTAACTTGACCATTCCAGAGGAGTGTCTGTTGCCTGGCGTCTCGTAGGGTATCGAGTCGTGCGACCTGCCTGTCTGCCGTTCCTGGCTGGGGGATCCGTGGTTGCTGAGCACGCCTCTCCCCCCTCTGCCGTCCGCATGCAGGGACAGGGACGTTCGGGCGTGTGCAGCTAGTCCAGGAGAAGACGAGCAAGCACTTTTGGAGTTTCAGCTTCAGCATCAGTCCTTCCAATGAATATTGAGGACTGATTTCCTTTAGGATGGACTGGTTGGATCTCCTTGGAGTCCAAGGGACTCTCAAGAGTGTTTTCCTGCCCCACAGTTCGAAAGCATCAATGCTTAGGTGCGCTCAGCCTTCCTTATGTTCCAGTGACGCCTGGACGAACCACAGCTGTGACTGTATGTAGCTTTGTCATAGAGTGAAGTGATGCTGTGTGTGTGCGGGAATTTAACTTGACCATTCCAGAGGAGTGTCTGCTGCCTAGCGTCTCGTAGGGCATCGAGTCGTGTGACCTGCCTGTCTGCCGTTCCTGGCGGGGGGATCCGTGGTTGCTGAGCACGCCTCTCCCCTCTCTGCCGTCCGCATGCAGGGACAGGGACGTTCGGGCGTGTGCAGCTAGTCCAGGAGAAGACGAGCAAGCATTTCTTCGCCCTGAAGGTGATGACCATCCCCGATATCATCCGCCTGAAGCAGGAGCAGCACGTCCACAACGAGAAGTCGGTGCTCAAGGAAGTCAACCACCCGTTCCTGGTCAAACTGTGAGTCCTTTGCTCCGGGTCCCCGCCCGCCCGCCCGCCCACCCACACCCCGCAAGGTGGGATTCTCCTGTGTGTGCCGGGGACCCAGCGTGTTCCCGGCCCGGCGGGCCCTGACACACCTCAAGCTCCCCATCTTACCCGAGGAAGGCTGCTGTTCCCACCAAGTGCCTGCCCAAGGTCGGCGGGGAGAAGGGATGCCTGGCTGGCCCCAGCAAGACATCCACGTGGGCTCCCCGCCTCCATCGCCAGAGCTCTCATCTCCTGGGTTTTCCTCAGTCACCCGCTCGCCTCTGCTCACTCCCATCCTCTCTGGGCTGTCTCGTGGACTCTCGAGTGGCCCCTCCTCTGATAGATCCTGGCCTCATCCCGTTGATGGTGCCCGTCATGAAGTGGATACATTCCTCTCTCTCCCAGGCTCTTTAAAGTTTATTACTTGATTCATGATTTAGGGGCTGAGGTGCATCTTTGTTGGGCTTCCCAGGTGTTGCTAATGGTGAAGAACCCACCTACCAGTGTAGGAGAGACGAGAGATGGCAGGTTCCATCTCTGGGTTGGGAAGATCCCCTGGAGGAGGGCGTGGCAACCCACTCCAGTATTCTTGGGCTTCTCTGGCAGCTCATAGGGGACAGAATCTGCCTGCGATGCCGGAGACCCAGGTTCAGTCCCTGGGTGGGGAAGGTCCCCTGGAGAAGGGCATGGTGACCCACTCCAGTATCCTGGCCTGGAGAATCCCCATGGACAGAGAAGTCCATGGGGTCGCAGAGAGCCGGACACGATGGAAGCGACTGAGCCCGCGGGCATGGTGACTTTTGAGATGCCCTTCCGTCCATCATCCCAGCACAGTGACCCGCAGTGGAAGATGGGATGCCACCCACGGGGTCAGCCCAGGATCACCCCTCCGCTGTGATGCTTGCCTCCTCCGCCCTGCCCCTCACCCCCTCCCGCCTCAGCCACCCACACCCGCCTTTCTTCCGCGATCCACCCGCCCGGGCGTGCAGACACAGGACCACTTACTGTGGTCTCAGAGCATCTTGCGTATATCCCCTCCTCCGCCCCCACGCACGGACAAAAACACCCGTAAAGGCAAAACCACTGGACCAGCGTCTCGAGACGAGTTGGGACATGTTTGATGGGAGACAGAAGGGAGCAACTGGCTTTTTCTGTGTGTCTGACTTTCCTTTTACGGAGCCAGAGAGCAGTCTGGGGTCCCTGTGGCCGGGTCACTAGAGTCTCATGTTCTGTCTGTGGCCAAGGCATTCTCACATGATTTAGGAGAACTGGCTTGAGCCTTTTTTTTTCTTTTTTTCTTTAACCAAATACAGGAAGTCCTCAAACCAGAAACCCAGGGTGTGTCCCCAAGGGTGCTTTGTGACCCAGTTTTCCCAGGAAGACAGGCGTCCCGGTGGCCGGATTTCTGTTTGTCCTGGAGACGTAGTGGTCTGTTGAGCTGCTCTGGTAGCTTATGTGATGGTTAGAGAATCTGCCTGCGATGCAGGAGACTCAGGTTCAATCCCTGGGTCGGGAACAAGAGAAGGAAAGGCAACCCACTCCAGTGTTCTTGCCTGGAGAATCCCGTGGACAGAGGAGCCCGGCGGGCTATGGTCCATGAGGTCGCAAAGAGTTGGACAGGACTGAGTGATGTAACCCTTACACGGAAGAGAAGCAGATAGACTTGATGGTCAATAGGAAAAGTCCGAGGTGATGTTGTTGAGCAGACAAGAGTTTGCAAAAGAGGCAAGAAGCCGGCGGGAGAAGCTCTTTTCAGGGCTGGGGGTGGCGGGGCGGAGATGCTGAGTTGACCTCGTTGTGTGTGTTCTGTGCTCAGGAAGCATTAGGGTGATGCTCTTGTGAATCTTGGGCTGGGGGGGCTTCCAGCTCTGGATATTCCACCTCTCTGTGGGTTTAATTGTGTCTGCCTCCCAAAAAGATGGGTCTTCCTTGGTGGCTCAGACGGTAAAGAATCTGCCTGCAATGCAGAGGACCTGGGTTCGATCTCTGCGTCGGGAAGATCCCTGGAGGACGGAATGTCAACCCACTCCAGTACTCTTGCCTGGAGAATCCCCATGGACAGAGGAGCCTGGCAGGTGACAGTCTGTGGGGTCACAGAGAGATACATATGACTGAGCAACTGGCATCCAGGCCCAGAAACATGCCATAAGTCACCGTGAAAGTGACCTTGTTTGGAAATTGGGTAATTGCAGGTAGAATTAAGTTGTTGAGGTGCTGTAGAAATGTGTTGTTCATCCAATTTGGTGGGTGGCCTTATACCAAGAGGCCTAGCTCGGGAAGATCCCCAGGAGAAGGCAATGGGAACTTTTCCCTGTAATTTAGTCTGCATAGCTGTCCCTCCATGTGTATCTGTGTCCTGACCTCCTCCTTCTGTGTGGACCCCAGTCCTATGGGATCGAGACCCTCGCTAGTGACCTCATTCGGCCTTCATGCTCTCTTTGAAGACCCATCTCCTAATACAGCCATATCGTTAGGTCCTGGAGGGGTCAGCAGTTCAACATACGGATTTGGGATGAGGCAGACGGTAAAAAAGAAAAAAAAAAATCTGCCTGAAATGGCAGGAGACGCGGGGTTCCATCCCTTGCTTGGGAAGACCCCCTGGAGGAGGAAATGGCAACCCACTCCAGTATTCTTGCCTGGAGAATCCCATGGACAGAGGAGCCTGGTGGGCTACAGACCATGGGGTCCCAAAGAGTCGGACATGACCGAGCGACTGACACTTTCACCATCCAGCCCAGAACACCAGCTTACTGACTTGCTCAGTGCAGGTCTTTTAGCCCATGAGGGTGTTGTTATAAGGTCCTTGAGGCTTGGGATGTTTTCCGTGGCTTTTCACTTCAGAGACCAGGTTGTGTTTGAAAACTGCGATTGCGTTGATCCAGGGCCGGCAGGCTCTGGATGCGCCCCCATACAGAGCAGCGGGGAGAGGGATCTGTGTGACCAGCCCTGGGAACAGACGGCAGGCGACGCCCACGGCCACGGGGTGGAGCGCGCAGTTGAGTGGGAAGAAGCCGGGAGGCGAGCAGGTGTTGAATCGTCCCAGCTGCGCAGTTTTCTCTTGGAAGGAGTCACTTCTCCCAACATCTGCCTTTTCAAACACTGTCAGAAACCCCTAGTAGGGTTTTCCTTGCATTTACATGAAGCTGCGTGGAGCCCGGAAGATCATGCCGAAGAAAGACTCCAGTTTGAACTTTCTCTTGAGTGGTTTGGCACATTTGCTCGGGGTGTTATCAGCAAGTTTGTGATTTGAAGTGCTACTGGTTGCATTTTTCTGAAAACCAGCCAGGAGGTTCATTACATAGATAATCAGATGACACCTCTCTGTTCTGGGATGAAGCCATTCCGAAGGTCAGTGCAGCCTGTGGAGAGATAATTTTAGAAGAGCTGAGTAACTCAGTGTCCAGGGTGTAGAAGGATTGTGACGCTGTCAGGATTTCCCAGGGGAGGAAGGCTTCGGTCCTGTCTGAAGAACGCAACCCTGTGTCTGCTCTCTGTCCTTTCTGCCGTACAGAAATTGCTGGCATCAAAGAGTGGGACCTGGAAAAGAGGCAGCCCACTCCAGTATCCTTGCCTGGAATCCCATGGTCAGAGCAGCTTGGTGGGCTACAGTCCATGGGGTCGCAAAGAGTCTCGCACGGCTGAGCCACAAACACTTTCTGTTCTTTCGAGAGTGGCACCGGGACAGGTGTTCTCAGCGCTGCTGACATTTTTAGGACTTAAGCCCAGGAGGCAGCATCTCTATTAATCCTGAGAATTGCTCTGAGGAAGCAGGACGGGGTGGAGGGAGCAAGGTTATATAGAAGTTTTGCAACAGAGAGCAGGTCGTGTCAACATCAGAAGATGATTCTTAATGAAAGAAATCAGATATCTGAAGGTAAGGAATTTAGTGCTTTTCTATGTATGGATGTGAGAGTTGGACTATAAAGAAAGCTGAGTGCTGAAGAGTTGATGCTTTTGAACTGTGGTGTCAGAGAAGACTCTGAAGAGTCCCTTGGACTGCAGGGAGATCCAACCAGTTCATCCTAAAGGAAATCAGTCCTCAATATTCATTGGAAGGACTGATGCTGAAGCTGAAACTCCAATCCTCTGGCCACCTCATACAAAGAGCTCACTCATTGGAAAAGACCCTGATGCTGGGAAAGATTGAAGGCAGGAGGAGAAAGGGATGACAGAGGATGAGATGGTTTGATGGCATCACCGACTCAATGGACATGAGTTTGAGCAAGCTCTGGGAGTTGGTGATGGACAGGGAGGCCTGGTGTGCTGCAGTCTATGGGGTCACAAAGAGTCAGACACGACTGAGCGACTGAACTGAACTGATGTGTAGGAAGATGCCAAGAATCTGGACTCATTGAAGTCATTCCTTTATTCTGCATCTCAGCTACCTGGGGCCAGTATCCTGTTTGTTCACCTCCTGAGTTTCCTCAGGGCTCACCGTGGGGAGTGGCTGTAGTCTGATGGCTGCTAGAAGGCAGGTGTTCTTTCCTGAGTTCCCTTAGGAACTATCACTCATGAATGTGACATCCTTGGTTTACTGATAAAGCTGGAAATAATTCCATTTCTCACGAGTTTCCATAGAGGTTCATTGTGCAGGGTCATCAGTCAGGTGTCATTGGGACCCTAGAAGACATTTCCCCATCAGAAAAGCCCTCTCTGAATGCTAAGCTCTCCCGTAAAAGAACAGCGAGGCTGTCATGCCTTTGGGATACTGTGTGCTTCTGTTTGAGCATCACGGCAAGGAACAGGCTGGCTAGACTGAGACATGTCATGATGTGAGCCAGAGAAGGAGTGCATGCAGCCCAGAGAAAGAGACTTGTCTTGATTATAAATGATGGAAAAAAGACGGGCGTCTGGTCACCTGGTTTCTCTAGACAGTGATGCCAGGGAGGAAGACATGTTCCTGATCCTTCCAGGCTTTTCTGGCTGGTCTAGGAATGACATGGATGTGAGACAGATGAACCAGGAGAAAAAGGCACACAAAAATTTAATCT